GGCGCAGTGGTGTGTGTGTGTGTGTGTGTGTGTGTGTGTGTGTGTGTGTGTGTGTGTGTGTGTGTGTGTGTGCGTGTGTGTATCCACCTTTTGAGCCTCCTGCTTCTGCACAACACGAAGTCACTCATCCATTCAAGCCATGTGTTTTAAGTCAAGCGGGTCCCAACTGGGGTCCGGTGACCCACAGGGGTCACTGAGAAACATCCAGGGGGTCGCAAAGAAAATAAAACATTTTGTTCAGGAGAAGGTTGTATTCAACTTTAACGATGAAAGTAAAAAAAAAAAAAAAAGTAAAAGAGCGAGTTGCTCAAGTTAAAATTGCCCAACAAGTGATAATAGAACTACACCAAACTAGACTGGCCCATGCACTGAAAAACAGTGAAGTTAAAACTCTTATGAAAAGATTAAACGAACACAATAAAATGATTTTGTTGCAGGACTCACAGCAATCATTGCAAACGATGTTTATCATTACACTAGTTTTATATTTATTTATTTACGTGCTTCACTTGAGCTGAATGCGTTTAAACGCTGTTATTTTCTGTAAAGCTGCTTCTCAAAAACGTTTCTTGAAAAAAACAAACAAAAAAAAAACCAACGAATTAATAATTTAAAACAAATGATTAGAAGTTAAAGTGAACTGCCGAGGAGGAGAAAAAAGAAAAGCGTCCACTGATCCAGTGGCCCACTGTCCTACTTCTGGGAGCGTCGCCTGAACGCAACAGTCACAGATCAAGCTTTCTCTCTCTGCGTTATTTCCATAAAATAAAACATTAAAAAAAAAAAACCTCCTGAACTTATCATGGGAAGATGTTCCAAACTTAATAAAGAAAGACGAGAAAAGAAATGAACTTTGGGGAGGAAAGGAGCGGAAACTCCGTTTTCTTTGGATTTTACGCACTGAAAACATCTCGACTCAGCAGAACCACAGCTGGAGTAAATCAATCCATAAAGTTTTATATCAGAAAAACAAAACTAAAAATGCACAAACATGCGTGGAAACTTATCACAGACTCAGTCACTGAGCTGTTTCTTGAAAACATATTTTCATGTTCAAGAAGAAGAACCTATTTTCTCCGTGTTGTTTCAAGTGCGCTCGAACTGATCCGCAGTCCAGATGTCAAAAGGCCACGCGCTCAAACAAGCCTAAAATACACGCAGCCGACCTGATGGAAAGTGGCGGAGGGGGGCCGCCACTCCCCAGAGGGACCCACTGTGAGGAGCTAATTTTCTGAAAAAGCTCAGCAAATGCACCAATGTGCGTGTGTGTGTGTGTGTGTGGGGGGGGGGGGGTGTGCGTCCCTTGTAGAGTGTGCGCAGGTGTGCGTGTGTGGTCTTGTGGGTGACTGGAAGAACTCTGGCGAGGGGTGTAAGGGGGCG